GGTCACAACTAGCCCTGGTCTTCCCTCTATGGCATTTTAAGGTAGCCTACTCATAAAGCCTTGTATTTTTAGTAATTTGTGTATCATTAATGAAAAAATCTAATAACGAAATACACCAAATACACAACATAGGCGACCGTTAAGAAAACAAAGGTCAGTGACTTGGATTTAACTGCAATATCACGGCATCGACTCACCTTTTTCCAGTAATTTTCACCCCAAAGTTAAATTACCACAATTATATAGTTTTTTAGAAGGAAGTTGTAGTTTTTGATTATGAATATTTATGGAAATGGCAGGGCAAGGCCTACTACTAAAGTGACTCAGCAGTTCGTGTGTTCTGGTTCTGATAGAGGAGTAGGAACAGCACCCTCTAGTGGCACACAGATGACACCGCAGTTTAAACACGGACTGATCGACCGGTTTTATGATATTCGGCTTAAAATAGTGATTGACGTCCTTTTGCAGCGAACAACAAGCGAATTCCAAAAACTTTAATAATAACCAGTAGCATTTAACAAATACGTAATAACTTTTGGCACCTCTGCGTTGTTCACTCATTAAAATGTGACCTGACCTTAAAGGGATAGTTCACCCAAAAATTCAGTCATTTACTCACACTTGATATTTATTTTTGGTTCTTTTGAACACATAAAACAGATATTTTGAAGAATGTTGGGAACTTGGGTTTGTTCACGAGTGGGGGAAGGATGGAACGTGAGATTGACAGGCGCATTGGTGCAGCGGCAGCAGCAATGCGGTCGAGGTACCCGTCCGTTGCCGAAAGGCAAAGCTCTCGATCTACTGGTCAATCTATGTTCCTACTCTCGCCTATGTTCATGAGCTTTGGGACATGACCGAAAGGTTAAGATCTCTGATTCAAGCAACCGAAAAGAGTTTCCTTCACAGGGTGGCAGGGTGCACCTTTATAGATAGGGTGAGGAGCTCTGACATCTTGGAGGAGCTCGGAGTAAAGCCGCTGCTCCTCCACATCAAGAGAAGTCAGCTGAGGTGGCTCGGGCATCTGTTTCGGATGCCTCTTGGACGCCTACCTAGGGAGGTTTTCCAAGCGGGGAAGACCCTGGACACGCTGGAGGTACTATGTCTCTTGGCTGGCCGGGGAACACCTTGGGATCCCCCCGGAGGAGCCAGAAGAAGTGTCTGGGGAGAGGGATGTTTGGCGTTCTCTCCTAAGACAGCTGCCCCCGCGACCCGGCCCCGGAAAAGCAGTTGAAAATGAAAGAATGAATGGGAACTGGTAACTACTGACATCGATGGTAGGAGGAACATTTGCTATTTATAGTTGGCGGTTATCAAATGATGACAGAATTAACATTTTTGGATGAACAGTCCCTTTAAATTAAGTGACAAACACTTCTGTTGTTCAGTTCAGCTATTAAAATAGTGGAAAAAGTTTGTGTTTGTGTAATATTAGACTATTCACACCTGAATTATTGTTTCTAAAATAGTTTTATATAAGTTTAAATAATGTATATGCCACATTGTTTGTGTGTGCAATGTAAAGTGTGTGCAAGCAAATGATAAAAGCATAGCATAGCATAAATTCTATTTATTATTTGCCTGTAGTACATAGAAGATGCATAATTTTATATATACATACGTTTATGTATAATATACATAAACAGACAAACGGGAAACTCTCACAGCCTTACACACACGTGTCACACACAAACAGATCACAGAAAATGTCCATGTGCTTCCAACACATCATGGAGAATCAGTTTCATGTACTGTAGTATGGCATTGCATTGATGATGCGTCTCTCAGGAGCCAAAATGTCTGTGAACGGGATTTTATTATGTCCAAATGTCCACTCACCATCATCATCATCATCAGTCCATCCTCCTGATGCTGGTGCAGAGCCCCGTCAGCCCAGAACGTCCAGCCTGAAGCTTCAGCTTGTCTGGTCTAAGGCAATGGAGCTCTACACTACTGGTGAGAGTTTAAAATTTTTTTGTGTAAGACTTTAATGTTCACCAATGCTGTATTTAATTGACCTAAAATACAGCACACACTGTGAAGATGTGAAATATTTTTACTATTCAAAATAAGTTTTCTCAGTGAAATAAGTTTTAATATATTATTTTAACTATTTTAATTCATTTAAATCTTGATTTTGGCATTATTAATCCAGTTTTCAGTGTTGTAAAATAATTTTCAGCTATATTCAATGACAAAACAGTTATTTTAAATAGTTTTTGACATTGTATATGGTATTTTCGATTAATAATAATGCAGCCTTGGTGAACAAAATCTGCTTCTTTTAAAAAGACTAATATTTAGCTCACTCCTAAATTAGACCAGTAGTGTATGGAGACTGAAAAAAAGAAAATCAAAGACAAAAACTAAAAGAATTGTGCAAAAAAAAAAAAAAAAAAAAAAAAAAAAAACAGGTCAATGGATGTTCTATGAAGAATATATCCGCCACCTTCATCAACTACACACTTAGTCACTCCACACAAGGCATGAATTCACACACGAGGAAAAAAGAAAATCTTCACTTCAATAGCAGCACTAAACCACCAGAACTTTCTCTTCTGTTTTGATGAATAAAGGGAACACATTTAAAGGCAGAGTTCACTCTAAAGTGAAAATTCCTTCATCGTTTACTTACCTTGCTTCTTTCTTATGTTGAACACAAAAGAAGATATTTTGAAGAATGCTGAAAACTGGTATCTATTTTGTTTCCTACTATGGAAGTCAATGGCTACATTCTTTAAAATATATATATTTTTTTGTGCTCAACAGGGCTTCTAAAGATTTGGAACCAGCTGAGTGTTAGCAAATGGTGAGTCATTTGTCATTTTTGGGTGAACTATCCCTTTTATATTACTGTAACCTCTACCAATTACATTTGTCTTTATATAAAATTTAAGAGATCAGAAAAATAGAGATTTCTATGCTCTCTTGTGCTTTTTAACATACATCATTGACAGATTGAGAAGAGTGGGTGTAATTTGATTTCGAACAAACATCATGAGTGCGATCATCCACTGTATGTTGTCCAGTATTCAGTAGAAATTAAAGCCAAGATTTTGAGGTCTATGAGAAAAATGCATTTGTCCCCTCCACAAAAGCAATGAGAGGAGAACATTCATGTGTTAATCTAACCCATGGAGGAATTTTTTTTTGTCTGCTAAGCTTACGAGTCCCTTATGGGGCCATAAAGTCTTCAAAAGTACTGGGAAATTCAAATAAAATAAAATAAAATATTTATAATCTACAATAGCATTGCACTATGCACAATAAAGTTAACAAAACACATGGGTGCATGAGCGAGGAAGGTGAAATTCTCATTACACACTCACACACTCATACGTGTAGTTTCATGAGTCAATACAGCCGATATTGCATTTATAAATCACTCCAGACTGACCTTCAAACTTTCAGTGTTTTTTTTTTTTGTTTTGTTTTTTGTCTGTAAAATACATTTCTCGGTTGTGTCACTACACTAACAGTAATGATGATTTTATCATTCTTCACTAGAATATTTCCCATAATAACGTAAAGGAGAAAACAAAACATGATTCACAAAAAACAACAGAACAATTCAGCCTGACCAATGTGTGAGTTTAGCCTCTATTTCGACATTTAATGCAGAACAAAATGAAGAAAAATCTATCTTTCATGATAATTCAATTAATAGTAATATTAATGATGAATATAACATTTACGATAGTGTTTTAAAGGGCACCCATTTTACCCCCTTTTCAAGATTTAAGATAAGTCTTTTGTATTCTCCAGAATGTGTCTGTAAAGTTTCAGCTCAAAACACCCATCAGAATATGTATTACACCTTTCAGAATATTGGAATTTTCTGCTCTGAGCACTGTGTAGCTGTTTTTGTGGCCTGTGGCTTTAATGCTGGTTCTCCCTGCCCACCGTTCCCACATGCCTGTGAAAGTGTGCCTCAATCTCGCCTTGGCTCCGTCAGCACAGTGACAGACATAAAGGAAGCAGATCTCACGTAACGTTTGTGAGAAATACTACAGTAAGAACTTTCCCAATGATTATTAGATGTATTTGTTGTGGAGTTAATTCAAGCCTTTCTGCAACGATGAATTGCACACTGCAAATGTGACATGATACAGTTTAATACCCATTGCTGTATGGATATCCTTTATGCTGATGTACAAAATAAAGCTGATTTAACGTTCACTTGAAGCGTCTTCTTTTATAATTGTATTGACACGCGGTTGTAGTGACGAAGATGGTAAAATCTCTGTAATTCATAGCAAACATGCACTGTTTTAAAAAGGACACATTTGATGATCACAGAGAGCTGAACAGATCTTTTAATTCCAGATGCTTTGCGAACGTCCTGTCTTGCTGATATGATTATATGTGTTACTACAGAGACATGTTAGGTTCGCGGCTGTCAATCAATACGGTGGGCGGGGAAACCACACTCCTATATTACAATGCAGTGGGACTCAAAATGGGAGGGGTTTGGATCCAATTTTAACGTCAGAAAATTAAAAAAAAAAGAAACTTATTGTGTTTCTATTACCCCATTATGACTGTACACAGTATACCTACACACAGCTCTGTCCAAACAGCTTACATAAGATGATTTTATTATTGATGCCCTTTAAGACAAACTATTTATTTAAATAAATCAGTATTATAATTGTTTTCGTTTTCATGTTTGTTATACATGTACGTAACATTATTATTATTATTATTAATTGATTAATTTCTCCTTATTAATCAGGAGTCGCCACAGCAGAATGAACCGCCAACTTATCCAGCATATGTTTCACGCAGCGGATGCCCTTCCGGCTGTAACCCATCACTAGGAAACACCCATACATACTCCTTCACATACATACACGAATTTAGCTTACCCAAATCATCTACACCACACATCTTAGAACTTGTGGTAGAAACCGGAGCACCCAGTGGAAACCCACGCATTATTCTCATTAATTATTACTACATATATATCTCGATATAATTTATGCATATTACTATTATCATCATCAATACAACCATCATTTATTTATTACTTAATAAATGAATTAACTATATTCATTTTGACCAATACAGAAAAATGTTAATTCCTCAACACAAACTGGCCAGCTGAAGTGTTCATAAAGTACTTTGAAAACAAGCAAACAAACTCAAAAAGCTAACATGTGGTTAAATAAAAGTCATACCGAATACCTCCTGCGTGCGCAAGGGGCTGTATGAGCACGTGTGTGTGTGTGTGTGTGTGTACAATTGGGCTTAATTTAGTTTTTAGTTTCGTTTTTGAGTCAAAAGTGCAAAAAACATCATGTTTTATCTCTTTTTCCTCTTCTGTCTGTCTTTGCATGTGCAACGCCCTTTGTTTTCGCTCCACTGCAGCTTCGGCAGAAATCAAACGAGCCCTTAATGGAAACAACAGACACTGAGAAGGAAAGAAAAGAAATAAATAGGGATTGAATCAATGTGGAGCCTGTTTTTCAGCTTCCTCCAGTACGTTGGTCTCCTTCCAGTGTAAGTGTTGCTACAGTGGAATGATGCAGGACCGGCTTTTTTTCTGGGCGTCGTCAGCGAGAGACAAAAGGAAATCACATGATAGTCATCAGGGTGCAAAAAAAAGGGCTCCTGCAGATTTGCCTGTCCAGCAGGACGGTGCAGAAGAGCTTTCGTGATTAGCGTGACCTTGCGGGAGCTGTTTTATGTCATAAAGCCAGAAGCACAGCATCCTCACGGCTCGCTTAGTTGGTCTCTAGTGTGAAGACAGGACTTGTGTGTGTGTATATGTGTGTGAGTTTGCACGGCCGGGATCAGTGCAGGTCAGTTAGTTTCGTAGGATGAGAGCAAGGCAGCGTCGACAGGCTCCATACAGGAGGGACATGTGAAGGACCTCATAAGCCAGTCGTCTATGCAGTCCAGGTGGTAGATGTGCATGCAGGGGAGGAACCGGATCGGGTCTCCATACACAAAGTCCATCATGCAGATCACACACCTGCACAGAAAGAACACATACAAGTTAAGCTTCCCAAAAGGAAGTGCATTGCCAGTGAATGTGGGCCTATTTCACATAAATGGCAATCAAGACCAGACTAAGGAAGCAATGTTTCCGGTCGCCCGGCCTCCGCTACGATCCCCATTCATTATATTAGACCATGAACAGTTTAGCGTCCTATATCAGTCATTATTTCATTATTATATTTTAACTGTAACTTTAATATCTGGGCAGTGTTCTGTGTGCTTTGGTACTTAAATTACGTAGATAAAAATAATTAGATAAAACACTTGACTTTATTCACACATCCATATACACAAAGAAAACATCAATTAGACTGTCTGATTGTAAGATTGTGTATTAACTAATTCAGGATCTCAATGTTGCCGTATATCAAGTTCAGACTGTATGATTTTCAAAGTAGTCGTGTCACAGATGTTTTTACAATGCACAACTATCTGGGTAGCGTCCGTCGGTGATGTGTTTACACTGTAGGGTATATTGGTGACAGAGGGTTTCACACAAGTGTGCCGCAAGCCTGCGTTTCAGTGAAAGTCTCGGCCGTTAGATCGCCCCCTGGGGGCTGGCTGCAGTACAAGTCATAAAGCCCGCCTCCTCCGTGTTAATAAAGGAGACTTGAGCCCAAGTAAAAAAAATTATTACACTTGCAATAAAATATCCCGAAAGATGGTTCTGGTCGATTAAGGCACTGGTTATTGTGCTGAAACAGGTGCAGATCTTCATTTTTGTAAACAGTTTGTTTTTAGCAGTAATTTAATGCTGGGCGTGTCATCGTAAGTTGACAGCTGTGATTGACAGTTTCTCAAAGCAGCGCGTCTGAGCTTCGGCAGAAGACTGAAGTGTTATTATTCGATTTCTGTGATATTTTACTATGACAAAATGAGTTCAGCAGTAAACTACAGTTTTTGACATACATGATCTGGTGGAACACTGTTTATTCGCTAAGGTCAGGGCTTTTTTCGGGCTTTATAAGTTTGCTGATACACGCCTAACCACCCAGATAGCAAAATACACTCGGGCCAGTTCCAGCTAGATTCTCGCCTGCCGGAGACTTACCCCTCAGAGCTCAGACTGACTACCTCTGCTGGACCTACTCCGGATGCCTGGACTCACTGCCCGATTCCAGCCCAAGTCAATCGAGCCAGATGCGGCGGCTGAGCGAGCCGGCGCTGCCGCATGCGAGCCGGAATCAGCCCGCGACGCCGCGAGTAGGTTATGCGCCCGGAGCTGGCGCGATTGAATATATAAAACCCTCATATTTGTTAACGTTATTACATCCATTTGTGTTGATATGAAAGCAAACGCATGCTGAGAAGTTCGGGGGGCGTGGTTGATTTTACATAAAGCCTTTGGTTGGAAGCTCGACTCCGCTCATTTTCGCGGCTCCTCCTCTGGCTCCATCAGACAGTCTTTCTGCGCATGTCAAGGCTCCAATTTCAGCAGTCTTTTGCGACAGTTTGTGCCCGTCAAGCAGGCGTTTTGCCCTCAAGGCGTTCAATGGGAAAAGGGGCTGTCGCGTCGTCCATATTTTTTACAGTCACTGGTTTCACACTGCATGACCTTGATATAGGAAGAATCGCTGACAACTTTGTCTCGGTCTGCAAACTACCTCTCACAACCAAACGCACGTGAGATGTGACGTGAAAATAACGTGAGGTCATGTAGTTTATCTATTGCTATTAAGTACATGATGAGAAAGAAGCCTTTAGTGCGGTAGAAAATGTACTTATTTTGCTCACCTGGCTCTGAAGGGAATTAGCAATTTCCCCTCAACTTTATTTCTTTTTCGACCCTTTCCTCCATTTCTTGGGTTCAAATAAACCAAAGAGAAGCCCTTTTAACTTCTCTCCAACCTCTCGTTGGCCTGCAGATACCCACACTATTTGATACTGCTCTCTCATTGGCTGTAGGTGACAGCCGAGGTTATTTTCAATCAGAACTCATTTCACACGGCATGATTTGAATTGCTGACAGCTCCAGATATTTAGCATGCCAAATATATCACGGGTGTCGGCGACTCATTGGCGATTCTCTCAGGTCACGTATTTGATAGTCCACACTTAGTGACTGTTACTCGCGTGAAAGATTTGCCTTTGATTTCAGGCGTTTGTCTGTGGTTTCTCAAAACCTGTCGGGGAGTCAAAAAAATAAAAATATGAAAAAATGAAAAACTTCTTCATATACTTCTGACTATAATACATTTTATTAAACTGTACGAAATAGTACAATAAAATAGTATTTGGTAATGAATCAGTAATGAATGAATGATATTGCATTCTGCATCTTTAACTGATAAACTATATATTTTACTAAACTGTAGAAAGTTACTGTTATAAATCTTTTTTTTAAACAATGCAGTTGGAATTTCTAGATTTGTTGCAACTATAGTTATCACAAATTAAAGTACTGTAATTTGGTTTCAAAAACAAAATAGTTTTACTATAAACTACCAAAATATTTCATCTGAGAAAATAAATGTAAAAAGTTATTGGAAAATTAAGCAAATAAATACTATTTAATGTGGTTTTATTTAACAACACACATTTATTGAATGTAAAAAGATGTATTATAAACATATGAAGATGTATTATATACATATTAACATGCTATTATTTCCGCTATTATAATGAATCTATTACATAAACAAAACCTGTCCGAATCAAATCATTTATACAGCTTGAATGTGATATATTAATTCTGTCTGACAAATAATGGATAAAAAAAAAAAAACTAAACTGTTCCCTGTCTATTATAACAAGCGCCTCCTTATTCAAGTCTTAATTCCCATATTTGTGAGATTGGTCGCATAGTACTAGACGCTGAACAGAAACATAAATCAAAATGAATAATTATCTTAATTGTATAAAAAAAAAAAACACATTCAGAGGAATTATGTTAGTATAATATGCAACTAAATGAAAAGAAACTAGTTCTCCTGATGTATCCTTCTTTAACATTGCACTCTAAGATTACATAAACATGGAAAAATGTACTGAAAAAGTTTCACATGTTTTCAAAATTATCTGTATTTATAAATAAACATGCCAGGCCAGTATTTTGCGGTGTCATCATGTTTGAAAACAATACCTGTAGAGAAGTGACCTGCCGTTTGCAGCTCAGCACTGATGTCTATGTACAATTTGCCCAATGTGTAAAAATTTGCATCTCAGCTTGCAGTTGTAATGTGAAGTAAATCCACACTTCACTTATGAGGCATTAAGAAACACTAAAATATACCCTGTATAATATGCTTGTTTGCCCTTGCTGTTAATATACACTCCATTCAATTTGTATATTAAGCATATGCACAATGTGATCATTTTTACAGATTTTTGTTTTCAATCGTTTACATGGACCTGACAATGACTGCGCTTTCAAAAACATACCCTTTGAAATCTGTAATCAAATGTATGTATTTTTAGTCACAAACCAACATTGTCATGTAAATGAACAGGCAAAACATATTAAAAGACTCCCATTTTTGGCTGAAACTGTGTAAACAGCCCCAAACATGTTTTTTATTCTTTGATCAAACTGGACACGATCTATGTAAAAAATAATAATAATAATAATTTAATAATATACTATGAAAAAAAGTCATTCAGGCAATTGTGATGCCTGCAAGAGTTCAAAAGAATAGTTCTCCCAAAAGATTAATGAGAATTTTCAAAAATATTTGTTTTAGTAGGCCTAACATTTTAAAGAATATTTTCTAAGACTGTGGCTCTTGTTGAATCATGAAATGCAAATCAATGACTACCGTCACTCTAATCGGACTCAAGCACGGTATACTTGGCCGGCCCTGGCCCGGTTGGAAGAGGTGTGCCTGAGCGCGGTACACTAATACAACAGAGCATTATGACTATGAGCGCCAAAAGTGGCGGATCTGTTCGGCGAAATATCTGACTGCATGTCACCACATCCTCAAGGACTGTTTGGCGAAATATTTGACTGCATGTCACTGCATAACAAACGACTGAAACGATATAACTAGAGAAATCTCCACTGTGCTGCTGAGTGAGAGAGCGCTTCTCACTGAACAGGGCAGCAGCGATGACGCAACCGTGCCGAGGCCCATTTGTGGTGTGAGTGCAAGTGCCTTTTTCTGAAAAACCTGGACCTGTTTTTCTGGACCTTTTTGCAGTTATTCGCCTAATTTTCTATTCAATTATGAGGTTCAAATACTAAATTTAAATGACATTTTACTAATCTTTTCTGGATTAGCTTGTTGGATGGTGGCCATTTTCACACTTTTTAAACCAACAAAAATATTTTCTATAATATTTTTTACCAGTGCTTACTGTACTATTTCACCACAAAGTGTACAAATGTGCATTTAAATTGTAAGTTATTACAGTTTTATGAATAATGTTATGAGATTAGAATTTTAAATTAAAATTTTTGATTAAAAAAATATGAAAAGATACTTGTTTTTAAAATACAAATTCATCACCATCTACCATTTAACATCAAAAAAAAAAAAAAAATGGAATCTGTTAAAACTTGTTTTAAATGAAAAACAGTAGCCTCTAGACAAATAACAAACTGGCCAGCTCATTTCCTTAGTCAGAATTTGTCCATTTAAATAATAATAAATTAAATTAGTCTTAAATTTGTCAGTTTTCAAATTGATGATGGCATACTGTCAAAAATAGGACAAATGAGCTCATATAGGCCAAATTCTGGACTTTTTCAGTGGGGAGTTTTAATGCTTCATCTTCATAGTTTGGATTTACTTCACATTACACAATCAACAGTGGGGATGCAACTTACACACATGGCAAGTAAAAAAAAAAACAAATAAAAACATCAATGCTGGGTCATTGCAGACATGTCATTACTTCCCTACTATTAGATACTGTTTCCAAAAATACAAGGGAGAGCACTAACTACTGGCCAAACACACGTAATACAACATGAAACTTTTTAAAAAATGCATGGGAGAAACTTCTGACTTCATTGTTGTCGTGTAAACATTA